AGGTGCAGCCCTGGTGGCGCTGTGGACCTGGGTGACTTCAACAGCTGCATCCACCCAGCAGCCATTCAGAAGAAAACCCAGGCTGTGAGGTAGCTGGAGATCCATGAATCCCAGCCTCTTCCTTTCCCTTCTGCCCCCACCCAACCCCAACCCAGAGAAAAAGGGAGCCTTAGTCTCCAGTCCTGCAGCAGCCCTGGGAAGCGCAAAGCTGGGGACAATGTGGTCATTGGACAAGGAAACAGATTCCTTGGAACAAAGGGCCCTTCATGGAAAACGAGAGATCAGGATCTAATGTGGAAGGAAGAGAGGAGAGCAGAGATAACAAGAGGGAGAAAGGGCTGCTGGCCTTTCAAACCTGCAGGAAGGAAAGCGGGGGCACAACCAGGAGGGTAGAGAGCCCCAAGTGAGGGCATCTCTGCAGCTGGGTACATTGGCCCTTGGTATTTCCCTCTATCCTATCACTAGCACTATTGATAAGCCGGATTGATGGGGAACATACCAGACCATAATTCTCTGTTGCCCAGCAACATATAGCTATCTGTTCTCCATCCCCACCAGCAGCAGCAAGACAGATTCTCCTGTAAATCAATTGCCACCTGCTGCCCCGTCAGCGCCAGCCCCCACTGCCTCTTGTCAGGGCCTTGGAGGAAAAGAGACAGACTGGGGACAACCAGCTTTGCTTCCTTGCTCCTGTTCTTCCAGGAAAGAGAACATTTTAATCATTAACTATGTTTGGCACGAGAGTGGGAGAATGGGTCACCCACAGGCCAGCACCCCCTCCCCACTGGAATAAAAGAGGCAGAAAATAAAACTAGAGTAACTCCCAAGTGGACTTTTGATTACCCTCATATCACAATTATGTTTCTGGATATCAAAATTCTTCTGTTATTATTATTAGGTTGATGGAAGGGATAACTGGACAGCATCTCCCTAACAAGGGAGCCAGCAAAATGATTAAACGATATAGCAGGTTGTCCCTACCAAAAAAGAAAAAGTCAAAGAGAAAAGGGATTTCCCGTTTTACTGAATATGAAAAAAATCAGAATCACAAGTGTGTTCCAGGTTTCCAGAATACATTTCCCAGACATCTTAATTAACCCAGCTTTGGGGACTTGTTTCACATTACCTCTCAGGGCAGAAAATGCCCTTCATTTCCATTCATTTTTCTAAATACCCAGTTGATTACTGTAGTATCTGTTTAGGCCTTAAGAATTCAAGCACTGAAGGTGTCAGCAGATGCTAGGTTTGTCAACTCAGATCATTTCTGAATAAGCAGGGCTTTTGTAAAAGTCCAATATTTGGGAGTATCCCCCTTCTCCCCGCCAATCAACACTGAGTCAGGGCTTCAGGATCTATTTCTTGTTCTTCCAAGCATGCAAACGAAAAAGGGGTGGAATGAGTGAAAGTCATACATTTCTGCCTCCCTAATATGAACAAAAGATGAATCAATCTTAGCAAATCTGATCTGGTCCTTTTTCCCAAAGTATAAAAATGGCAGAGAAGGACTAATCCTGTACCAATCTGAATATTATGGATTGCAGATCCCAATAAGAAATGTCTTGCTGATAAGGGCACATCCCCACCAAAGCATGGAAATCATTTTCCTCCAAACTGAAATTCAAGGAGAATCCAAGAGATTTGAGAAAAAGAGAAGAGATGCATTTTTCTCTTTCTTTTTCGCCCAACATGAAAGTTGATACATCTGGGAGCCGTTCGGTGAAACCTACAGATCCATTCTCAAAAAAATGCATAAAATAAAAAAAATAGATTGTATTACAAAGTTAACAAGCATCTTTGGAGTCTAGAGGCTATGCATTACTTGTGGCCTACATACATAATTGAATGAAAAGCTCAACTGCAGTTAAAAATTAAACCTGCATTTTTTTCCCCATCTAAGTTCACGGACCCACTGAAATCTATCCATTGACCCCAAGGTTAAGAATCCCTGGCTTTGACTGTATTAAAGGTTCATCATCCAGAATTGGTCATGAGTTGTCCATACCGTGTTCTTTAAACAGATGGACATAGCTTCCTTCTCAGAATAAAAGCTTGTTTGGAATATCGCAGCCACTGTAATAAAGAATCCAATTCTTTATTCTCCCTTTCCAGTTGCAATGAATCAGTGGCAAGAGAAAAGCACTCTGTGCATGATAGAAGGCACCCTTTTTAAATGGTGGCTTTACCAAAATGATAGATCTGAAAGCTGGGCATTCAGTCAAGCTCTGTGTTTCTGGATGTTTAAAGGAAGGCAAGCAGGATCTCGTACAAGCAGAATTTTGCATGTATGCTTCCATCATCCTCAGCAAAGTCAGACATCCACACCTTTCAGAAGAGCATTACCTGTCAAACCCACGCAGGGTACAACCTACAAACAAAAAGATCATGACCAAAATACAATACAAGAGCTAATGTCCTGTTCAGACACCCCTCTGTGAAGAGTCTGAGATCAGCTGAAAGCCACTAGATCCCTGCACTATCAACCCCTTGTTCACAGGATCCGGCATTTAAGGAATAAAGCGGCCAGGCTCCTTCAGTCCCCGCAACCTGGCAAATTAAAGATGGCTCACAACCGTGAAATAAATGCACTCTCCCTGTGAGTGCTTTTGGTCACTGGCTTAGTCTTTATGATGAAATTCCAGGCTTCAGCCAGCACAATTTGGACTGGCTGGGCAAGCTTTTGCACAAACTAAGACCTGTTGCACACACACAATATTGCAGAACCCAATCCAGAAGACTGCCCTGCAGGGATACATATCCTGATACTTCTCCACCTTGAAGACGCATCTTCACAGGCACCGTGCTTCTCAGATACCCTGGGTACACAAGGAGTCCAAACAAAGCTGAACGTTTTGGGGTCATAATGCAGTCAGAATACATACAGCTCCCTTCATTTAACTACATGCAAACTGCCTCTCTTCTGGCTTCTCTTTTTCATGCACACACACACACACACACACAGAAATCTATTAGATGTTCCAATATCCATCGCCCATTCCTGACATAGTCAAAAGACACTTATTTAAACATGAAAGATGATGCACAAACTCCATAACAAGCAGAAAATCTAGAGGCTTACCAGTCATTTAGCCACATTTTAGCCATACAGGTTGCACTGTGCACATAGCTACATAGCAAATGCATGTAAAGTCCTTGGATTCCTCCCCATTCTCAGCCCATTCGCCCCCCACTTAATACAGAACAATTCCGCACGCACGATATTCCAAACACCAGGGTACCTCCCCACACTCTTCAATACAGATACACATCATCCAGTGAATATTCCCTCATACCCACAAGCCCCATTTATTACACCCCAAAGGGCCTGTTGCTTGTATCTACAACAAACACGCACAGCACAATCCACAGCCTGGACACATCGATCCCCATCTTACAGATCTCCCTCTGAATCTGATCCCTCGGTCCAAAACCATCTGCCATGTCCCAGAACAGCACAGCTTCACATAATACCCCCCAAAGAGAGTAATGCTTCATCAAAACCGCTACTCCTCCTCATACAAATGAACAGCAGGACACGTCACACTTGCCCTCGGGCACATACAGACACACATGGACAGTACTTGAAAGAAACAACAACCTGAAGCATCCTCTGAGCACAGACGGATCCGGCAAACAGCCCACAACCTTGTGCTGCCAAGGGCAAACAGCACCCCCAAGATTCTCCCTCCCCCCAGGATCATTCTAATATGTAAATCAGGAACAACTTGTCCCCCCAAAAATCAGCTGCTTAAGGCAGGTGATCTCATCCTGGATGGAACAGCCTTCTGCTTTAGGCCCAGATCCAACTGCCACACCCTTCTGCTGCTCACTCCACAGCCATAACTCAGCCCCACATGCTGGCCACAATTCCCACAGTATCCTCCTCAGCACACAATGCTTCCGCTCCTCACACCCCAAGCTCCCCACTCCTTGTACTTTTCACACACACGCACCTCGCGCGCTGCCATACACCACCTCTGCTGTGGTGCATTCATACACAGAGTGGTCTCCTCTTCTTCCTCCCTCCTTCTCTTGATGGCACGGAGAGACCATTCCCTGATGTACCACAAATGCCCCATCCTGCAGACAGCCTTACTCCTTTTCTACTCCTAGTGTAAGCCTTCCCCCCTTCACACACATACATGCACCTGCACACGCACAGACATCTTTAACCCTGAAACATCCTCCTCCTTGGCACATATTCTGAACATATAAGGGCTACATATATCTCTGCGTTTTCTCCTCTCACCTCTTTCATGCCCACAGCTTTGGTTCACCCCCAGCACTGCTACAATGCTCCCCGCCCTCATTCTCCATCTGAAATATGGTTTAAGAAACTTGATTTTGATCTCCTGGTCCTCGACACGGGAACCCCGCATTCCCATACAGGGCTCTGCAGAGGGGGACCCCCTACTCCGCCAGCCCACCAAATGGTTGGGGGCTGTTTGCCTCCCTCCCTCCCTCCCTCCACCCTCCTCCTCAGTTTCTTCCTGCAATAAAATCACAGACCACCAACCAAGCGCACCGGAGCCTTTAAGTTGCTCTAGATTCAGGGAGGTCCTCATCACCCCCACACCCAGCCGCGCAACTTTTCTCAGCGGCGGAGGGGGGCCACCAAAAAACCTTCTAACGGGGAGGAGGATGCTCTCCAGGGAATCGTAAGGAGAAGAATTCGCGCCCACTTGGGAACCTCGTGATTCTCTCTTCCCTTCCAGATTTAGGGAAACCGTCCCCGTTTTTTTCGGGTCCTGACAAAGACGGGCGGGGGGACAGACACACCTCCCAGCCAAGAAAACACCCCGATCGGTTTTCTTCCCCCGTATCCGACCGTCCGCCCCACAGCCCCGAGGTTGAGGGAGAGGGCAGGGGCTCGGCTCCCCTCTGCGGTCCACCGTGCCCCCTACCTG